TTAAATTAATAAAATAAATTTCAATTATTAACTATTAATACATTTCAACTATTATAAAGTATTTTAATTATTATAATGTATAATTTTTATAGTTTTAAAATATTAATTTATTAATAATACTATTTCAAGTCAACTCAAGTTAAGTCGAGTTTGAGTTGAGTTTAAATCGAGTTGAGTTAAATATTTAACTCAACTCAAATTTGATTTGACTCGCAAATCATTGAGTCAAAAAAATATAAACTCAACTTGATTTAAACTCGATTCAGCTTATCTGACTCGTAAGTTAACTCGACTCATCTGGAACTCTAGTCAAACATACTAAGAGATTGTTTTTATTATTCTCATCAGTGGATTCTGCCATAAATAAAACCCAGCGACCTATAATTCAAAATGCTTTGCTTATATCATCCTTATGCATATCTATGCATTCAAAATTTGGCACATTTCCACAGCCTCTTCTCTCATAAAAATGCCTACTATATGTAATAAATATTCTGAACATATATATCTAGATCGATATTTTGCTTGATCATTGTTATCATTAATATTTTCTGATTCCATCTCCTGTTTGAAACCTTAAGTCTGACACAAGGAATTTACACATATTTTCTAAAAACATATCTCGAATGCTGTATACAAGTCCTACCCTGACTAAAAAATGTTTGTATTTATTACAAAATAAGCAACGCTGGCAAAAAATCCAACTTTTTTCAATTGAACATGTCTTTTTGATATTTGGAAGATGAAGCTGATTTTGATCATAAAGGAAGTAAAAATAACATACACCTATTGTTGACAAATCATTTTTTATTTGAGCTTTTTGAAAAATCTCTGGATTGATCTCTCAAGCTCCAATTAGTTGAGAAAGTAGCCTCTGTTTTTTTAAATGGCTTGAGCAGCATTGAATAGAACCATTATTAATGTCCAAAATTGGATATTCTGATAAAGATTTACTAGCGTTTATTGTGTCAATAACAAAATATTCATTTCCATCAGTTGATCCTAATGTAGTCGACTCTGAATCAAATATTAAAATTATTAATGTATTAACATCTACTTTGGTATCAGTATCGATATCATTGATATCTTTAATAAAAATATATCATTATTTTCGTCCTCTTTTATAAGTGTTCTTGCTTTTTTAAAATTGGCATTATTAAAAAGAAAGGGCATTTCTATATCATAATTTAATGCATTATTATCGCTTCCAATGCTTCCTACAACACTCTCTGACGTAAAACTTTTAGCAAAGGCTATACTCTCCAAATTATCGTAATCATTAGGAACATAATAGAAATTATCAAAAATGTCCTGCAAGTTTATATCAGACATAGCAAAAGGGGCGAATTTTATACGATAAGATGACTAACGCTAAGTAAATATCATCAATTAAAAAAAAAGAATTTTATAAAAAAAATAGCAATGGTATAAAACTAAAAAATTTACTACTCTAAAGAATAAAATAATGCTAAAACTAAATTTCTAACTAACAAGTTATCATTGTCAGAAAAAAAAATGAAAACGACTTTAATTTAACGTTAATTCTTTAACATTAAAAATTATAAGGCCTTTATATAACGATAATATAGACGACGTCTTATTAAGATATAAAATAGAGTACAAATATAGGTATATAAAATAAAAATACATATAAAGAAACCATCTATCTTAAATTAGTAATTCTATAACCACATCCCGTCTGATTGCTTTTCAATAGAAGTAGTAGTTATTATTTTGAGTGACAAATTTGTCGATCTTTAATTAATGCATGCAAAAATATTATAAGGCGTAAAATCAATATCTCTTTAACATGTGAGTAGATTAAAAAAAAATGCATATTAATGGTAATGATAAGTTTAACGTTTTAAAGTTAGTTAAAGTAATTAGTCCGAAGTATAACGAGGACTTATGCACAGTGACACAAAAATGTCCTATTGTCTGTCCGGCATGTGATGATATTTCACACTTTGAACTTTGTAACGTTTTCGTTTCCTAGTTTATGTAACTTAATGTTAACAATAATATTAATATCATTTTTTAGCAATTCCTTTAAATTAAACTAAGAAGTTCTTGAAATTAGATTTATATGTAAATTTTTTGGCGCTACAACTTTACTTATAAATAAAAGGTAGATTAGAAATGCTAATTTTGAGTTTTATATGAAGAAACTGCTAAAAATCTTAAAATCGAACACAAAAGTTAATCGTAAACTTTATTCGTTAAGTGTATAATTCTGAAATTCGATAATTATATGTAAATTTATCGGCGCTACAACTTTACTTAGAGATAAAATAAATGTAGATTAAAAATTCCGATTTTGAGTTTTATATGAAGAAACTGTTAAAAATTACTGTGTCACATGATTTTATTTTAAAATTTTCGATGGAAGATTCTTTAGAACTATCATTATTATATAATATTAATAAATAGACTTTTAAAAAGAAGAGGTCCTGGTTATACTTTTATTAAAATAACAAGAAGTTACAACCATTAAATTTTGGTATTAGCATATAAGTGAAAGTTGTGAACTAGCTTTTTTATATATAAAAATTGTGAAAGTGCAGTATGCCGATCTCTTAATTAAAGAAATTCCCGCAAAATTAAGTGACAAAATCTTGTGTAACTTTGAATTAAGAAATCTTATGCATCATGTTTTTTGAGCTT